AGTCTGGAAAAAATTCTTTGATCGCGTTGAGTTTGTATAGAGGTCAGGTATTTCAATAAATCATTCTATCGTTGTATTTTAATGAATGTTTTTTATGTGCGTCCTGATGTGAAAACTTTCATTTATGGCGACAACAAAGCTGTTTGTACTAAGAACCCGGTGTGTCTTGTTTCTCAGCTGAAATGGAAGGGAAGAAGCAATTGATTAAGGTAATGTCGGAATGAAACTTCTCGGATTTTATTCATTAAAAGTTAGTCCATTTTTCCTTTACCTTTAATGAACGTAATTGAGTGCGCAAGAATAACTTAAAATTTCATCTGCTGAAGTGAATGCACGCACTACCAAGGTATCGTCAGCATTTAATGCATTTATTCAGAGTTGACTTTGCATTCACTTGTGTATACCGTGAAAAAAACAGAGATAAGACTAATTCTTGCAGAGCGTTATTTTGTTTGGCAGAACAGATGATTTGTCTAGGTTTACCCTTAAGAACTGCCCACCAGGACAAGGAATTGGGACCAATTCCAAGAGAACAAATTATTAAATGCCATTTCGCTCTGCATGGTGTTAAAATCACTTCCGCAGTACAGAAATAAACAACGGATTTTGCGAACACATTTTTGAAACTGCATTTCTTAAATATGGCATGTATTGTATGTATGTATTGTCAAGTTTCTGTGCTTTTTGCACCTGTAGTAAAGCTGCTTGCTACATAATTCATGGTGGTAACAAAGTTTCTGTGCACTGAAAAGGAACTATTACAACAATCACAGAAAATCCTGTGACGACATATATTGGTCTCTAGAGCGAGCGAGCGATCACTGGTAAGCACCCCCTCCCCCCAGTTTTAGATTATTTCCCATGTTAAGGCTGCGTTGCAGATTCTGGTAAACAGGCTACCTAAATCGTGGGAATGTGCGCATCTACTTCATTGAAACCTTCAACTACTGTTAATCCAGAAAGTCAGCAGCATACTTCGGCACCGTCAGGTTCATTTATCGAAGCTCATTAAGTAATTATTATTAATAATGACACGGCTCGCCGTAGTTGGTAGTTCTGATTCCAGAAAGTTGTTTGATTTTTGCAGGATTAAGACGAAATTATTATTGTCGCTTTTGTAACCAGCGAGGGTGCCAATATTTTTTCCACAGATGC